TGATGAAGATATAAACATATGATAACCCACAAATCTTTTCAAAAAATACGTTCACAGAACAACAATTAACACCAAGTTAATCAACAAACGGTCAACACATATGCAACAAATGCATAAATGACTCCACGAAAAGATCTCACCACACTTATCATATCACATTCCATGTTACTTACACCTTGAGAACACACATCTCCTCTCATCGCTCACCATGTTCACTAGACTGATCACTCATATCTAACTAGTAAATCACAATAAATCCTAAGTCCTCTGGATAATCCTCCATCATCACATCACTTCTCTCAATCTAAGTGGATAATTAGTCTTCACCTAACAGAAGTGATAGAAGTACATCTTTCACACTCCACCCGATCGTAATCTTCATAATCTTCACAAGTAAATGATTCCAACAGTTAATCACATCTTCACTTGTGATTCAAGTATCACACTCCACATCCCCGTACATACTACCAATGTACTCCTAGGTATCTGTACTCCACATCAACAATAAACACACATCACACATACCGCTAATGTATCACAGCTTACTATACATGCAAATAATTACACCAAGTAATCAGATAGCTCTCAAATTCATGCAAATGTACATATCAAATAAATTGAAACGCAACATATAATCATGCAACAGAATCAAGTAATCACACACATGCAAAAAAAATTACACATAGATGCACATGCAGTAACCAGATTTACTCTCAATAAACCTCGTTAGGGTCATTACTCGACCCTATAGCCACATTTGCATTACCTCTCATCTTACCCTTCTGTTTATCCTTCCACTGTATAACCTGAAACGAAAAACTAATAACATCAAAATGTCAAAATGATGTTAGGAACAAACTGCCTAAAGACATCGTCACCTGAAAGTGCCCTACGCACCATCACGCGCTCACCAGATTTCTGCGTGTGGCAACCGACCACCCAGAAGCGCCTCCACCTGCACATCACGCTAATGGTCTCCGTTTCACCAAATTCGTGGATTAGCCGAAAATTACGAAAACAGCCTCAATTTCTGGACAGTTTCTCGACAGTTTTGCAATTTGTTTTCTACTTCGTTTCAACCGATTTTTTGGACAATTTTCAATCAATTTGTTGAGCCAAGTCTACCACCTTGAAGCTCTGAGTCTAATTTTCGTAGAAGCTCTCTTCAAGGATCGTCAAATAGGTGATTTCTGGGTTCAATTTCACATTATCTTTCTCTACCAAACAACTAATCCAAACTGTTATAACCCACAACTAATACATTCACCTCGATTACTCTTCAATCTCACCCACAATGAACAAGATGACAGAGATTATTTGTAAACCATAAAGGCAAGAAGAAAACAATGTAAGAGAGACAAAAAGAGGCCAAAAAATATCA